GACTTAATCAGATGAAATCCCTTTAAAAAGGGGCTAACCACCCCCCCCAACCTGGTCAGAGATTCAGGAGATAGATAGATAGATAGATAGATAGATAGATAGATAGATAGATAGATAGAAAATCTACTGATCCTGTTTCTGTGGTTGAGCCCTGAGTGATAAAGTATTCTTCCTGTACCTAGTCATTCAGCAAATCCTCACATTCTGCTGCTTTCAAAGCTTCTCTCCTTTTGCTCCTCCTCCTACTTTGGGTGCCTCTGGGTTCCTTTGAGCCCCACTTCTTCTTGCCTGGATTATTGGCGTTCCCTTCCAGCTGGTCTCTGCATCCTATGAGGTCCTACCACACCCTGTTTATTATCACATGATCGCTCAGATCGTTCTTTTCTAAACTACACATGTGATCTTGTCACTCTTCTTAAAATCTTTAAATGGTTTCCTGAAATTTTCAGGCAAAAGTTCAAAAGCCATAGCTTTTTTACGTAACCCGATTTTCTCTCCTCTCTTGGCATATATATTATACTTCCTTTGAAAATATTTTTTCGTGCTTGTCATAGAGTTTGCAATATACATTTACAACTAATCCAAGTTCACTTTCAAATTACACTATCCCACTTGACTGGTAGTGCAAGTACCTTACAATAGAATCTTCCCAGTTCTTCCATCCCATCCATGATAGCATTGTTGTCGTTTGTTTCACTTATTGATAAGCTGTAATCACCAAATACATTGTTGCTGTTATTGTTTTGAGCAAACTGTTATCTATTTGTTAACTATTAAGAATTAGAATAAGAAAAGTAAATATTTCATCTTACCTGTAATTATTCCTTCTCTGACACTCTTTCTTTATGTAGGTCAGACTATATGATCCATATTGTCTTTCTTTCTGGAGAACTTCTTTTAACATCTTGCAAGTCAGGTTTATTGATAACAAGTTCCTTCAGTTTTGTTTGTCTCAAAAAGTCTTTATTTCTACTTCATTTTTTATCTGTTTATTTATTTTTAATGAGGTATAATTGATTTACAATGTGTTTGTTTCAAGTGATTCAGTTATACATATACATACATATATTTTTAGGTGCTAATAGCCTAATCTTGGTATATTTGGATCAGTTTTTTCTTTAACTCAAAAGAAGTTAGTTTTTCAGGAAGGGAAAATTAATTGAGTTTTCCTTTTATGTGGCAAACAAACCAAAAACCCTCATTGAATTCTTTTTATTTTGGGGGGTGGGGGTAATTAGGTTTATTTATTTTTTTAGTGGAGGTACTGGAGATTGAACCTAGGACCTCACACATGCTAGGCATGCACTCTACCACGGAGCTATACCCTCGTCCTGAATTCTTTATTATTTATTTATTTATTGAAGTATAGTCAATGTACAATGTTGTGTCAGTTTCTGGTTATATATATTCTTTTTCAGAATCTTCCATTATAGATTACTACAAAATACTGAATATAGTTCCATGTGTTATACAGTAGGTCCTTGTTTATCTGTTTTATATATCATAATGTGTATGTCTTAATCCCAAACTCCCCACCCACTTTGGTAACTATAGTTTGTTTTCTACGTCCATGAGTAGAAATACTGGTTTGTAAATAAGTTCATTTGTATCATTTCTTTTTAAGATTCCACATGTAAGTGATATCAAATGATATGTGTGTTTCTCTCTCTGACTTACTTCACTTAGTACAATAATCTATAGGTCCAACCATGTTGCTGCAAATGGCATTATTTCATTCTTTTTTGTGAATGTCTATTTTTAAAGGATAATCTTGCTAGATGCAGAACTCTGGGTTGTTATGGGGTTTTTTTTCTTTCAGCTTTAAAAATATTTCATTCTACTCTTGCTTGCGTGGTTTCTGAAGAGAAGTCCGATGTAATTCCTGTCTTTGTTCTTCCAAAGGTAAGGTTTTTTTCCCCCTCCCTTTGACTTCTTGATTTCCTTTGTCTTGATTTTCTGTAGTTTGAATATACATGCCTAGGTGCAGATTTCCTAAGAGTGGTCCTGCTTGATGTTTTCTGAGCCTCCTGGTTCTGTAGTTTGGTGTCTGTCATTAATTTTGGAAAATTCTGTCATTATCACTTCAGATATTTCTTCTGCTCCTCTCTCTCCTCTCCTTCTGGTATTCCCATTATGTATATGTTACACCTTATTTAATTGTCCCAAGGTTCTTGGATGTGCCATTCTGTTTTTGTTTTTAATTATTTTTTCTCTTTACTTTTCAGTTTGGAAATTTTATATTGACACATATTCAGGCTCATTGATTTTTTTCCTTGGCCATGTCCAGTCTACTGACGAACCCGTCAAAGGCACTCTTCATTACTGTTACAGTATTTTTGACTTCTAACCTTTCCTTTTGTTTCTTTCTTAGCGTTTCCATCTCTCTGCTTAATGTTGTCTGTTTGTTCTTGCAAGTTGCCCACTTTCCCGCTGGAGTCCTTTGCATGTTAATCATAGTTACAGTTCCTGGTCTGATAGTTCCAGAGTCTCTGTCATCTGGTTCTGACGCTTGCTCTGTCTCTTCAAACTGTGGGGAGGATTTTTTGTTTTTGTTTTTGCCTTTTAGAATGCTTTGTCATTTTTTTTTGTTGAAAGCCAGTTGTGTATGAAGCTTTACATTTTTCTGGAGGAGGTGTTAGGCTGTGATTCCTGTCTGCTGAGCTGTAGTTGTCAAAAGTTAAATTTCCTCCAGTGTCCTTTGTTTCTGTCTCCCCTGTTGTCTTCGGGTTTCTGGAGACTTCTTCTTAAATAAAGTCTGAGACTTGCAGTTCTTCCTGCTGTTACTCAGTTCTCCCTGTTCTTGTACCTGCCCTGTGCCCCCTGCAGTGTGAGGGGAGGGAGGTCTTCTACAGCCCTGGGGACAGTGCCCTGGAACTTTACAGGTCCTTCCCAGGCTCCCCTTTAGGTGAGACGAGACAGGAAGGGGCTGGAGCCGGGTATGTCCCTTCCCCAAGTCAGTCAGGTTCTGGTGAAACCCAAGGTGGTTGGGCTCTGGTAAAACAGGCTGGGCTCCTTTGAGGGCAGGCCTTGTTAGCAACTGCAGAGGCCTCTGGGTCTACTTCAGAACAGTCACTCTCCCCATCTTCCTGCCAGAAGCACTAGGGGATTTTTGTCTGATTTTCACCTTGAGAACCTGGTGGGCTTCTGGAGGTAAAACTCACAAAAGTATGTCTCCGTCCCACCCGCCACTGAAGACTGAGTCCCTGCCACCGAATTTTTAACTCTCAAGCTTGTCCACACTGAACTTCCAGAAATTTGTCAATTACAGATTAAGTGTTCCAGTGGTCCTTGCCCCAGTGTCAGGCTTCTGCTCCCTCTAAGCTGTCGTTCCGTGTACCTGCTTGTCTCTTCAAGCCCTGCCTGGGGGCAGTGGTTTACCCTGTGACTTCCATTCTCCGATGGGTCTAGGATGACCTGCTGACTTTCAATTTGTTCAGCTTTTCTCCTGTGAGGACAGGCGTGACCACTTCCCAGCTCCTTGCTTGTCAGACCTACCTTAAAACTTTTCAAGTCACGGATTCCAGAACCCAATTATAGGCAAGGGTTCTGAAGTCAATTAGGCTGAATTAAAATCCTGGCTCCGCCATTGGCTAGTGCCTGTGTGGCTTGGGAAAGTTACTTATCTGTGCTTTGGTTTTCTCATCCATAAAATGGGGTTAAACTTAAGAGTCTCTCTATCTTAGAGGGTTATTGTGAAGGTGAACTCAGATAATATATGTCAAGCACCAAGCAGAGAGCAGGAGCCCCGTAACTGTTGGCAGGTCACCATTGGCAAATCCCCCCGCACACCGTGTGCTATAAACGCTGGCTCTTCTTTTTGCCTGGCATACCTCTCCATCCAGCTAACTTACACGCTTCCTTCAGAACATCGTTTATTTCTTGTTCCCACAAAGCATGTTCAGAATCCCTTGTCCATTTTAGATAAGGTGACCTTATAATTTATTGTCCAAATTGGGACACTTCTGAGGGTGGAAAGTGTTGCTATTAGTAATTCCCCCAGGACAATAGCCCCTGACAGTCTGGGAGATGTGGTCATCTCAGTTGTAGTTCTCTGTCTTTCCGCTGCTCCCAGTGTCTGTCAACAGCATTGTTCACACCACTGTCCTTGCTGATTGGCTTGTCTGTCTACTTCCTGTTCTGTAGTTCCTTGAGGGCAGATGTGATGCCTCACTCACAGCCATGGCCCAAGATCTCTCACAGGGCCGGTGTGCACGCCACACACACACACACACACACACACACACACACACACACACGCACGCGTAGAGAGGAAGACAACTACTAACTTACCTTAGTTTTTTACTTTCTTTACTTTACGTTTAACGTTAAACGTTAAAGGTTAGTTAACTTT